GTGTGTGTGTGTGTGTGTGTGTGTGTGTGTGTGTGTGTGTGTGTGTGTGTGTGTGTGTGTGTGTGTGTGTGTGTGTGTATAAAAATCAGCAGCTGAAAATGTATCAAAGAAAACAATGATTACAGCAGCCAGTAACTCTGAGCTTCTGAGCTGGAAACTGTGAACCCCTCCCATTAAAACTCCAGCAAACGTCGGTGTTAAACATGGAAGCATTCTGCACGAGCGCTGACAGTCAGGCGGGAATGTGAAAAGTGGTCTGTTTGTCCAGTTTACAGTTAGCTGAGCGTTTCAGGAGTAATCCAAGAAAGGGATGCACATTTTCAAATAACCTTCACATCACTGAATATAATGTGTAAAAGTTGCATAAAATCCACAGATCTTCACCATCATTAGAAAAGATGCGAAAAATAATGTATGAAACAGTTTGTTGTTTTTACATACTGTGTACCAGCAACTGCAAAGTGTTTCTGCATACAGGTAGTTGATTACATTTGGCTTTAACTGCTGAGTTTATGTTTTCTGTGTATCTAAAAGAAAACGCTGCTGGTGTTCGTCTGTATCTACAGCCTGGAGACTTCTTAGACTTTAAATGCAGCAAAATGTGTTTTCTAACAGCCTGTCAGCAGACACACACTGGGCGCCCACAGGGGCCACAGCAGGAACACTTTACAGCAGGGGATATGAAAACAGTGAATCTGAGTCAGCAGGTAGCAGCAGGGTTTTGAAGCTTTAACACACAAACTCCTGTCTCATGCGGATGATCTGCAGCAAGGCGGCCTGGACGTCCTCGTCCATGTGGCCCTGTGGGAGAAACAGAAGAAGGGCTTCGGTACATATATAACATCAGATATTAACATTAGACTATCATCATCTGATATTCTGTAGTAACCCTGCTGCAAACTTTCTTTCGTAGACAAACCAGACAAATCTCACTGTGCAGTAATCTCCACAGATTAATGAGTAAGACTTACCTGGGCTGCGCTGAGCAGATGTGTTCGATAAATTGAAACCACCTCTCTGTGTTGCCTCTCAGCATCCTTGTGAATCAGAAAGGAGGAAGACGTGAGTGACACTGTGCTTTGTTTCACGTCTTTAACAGCTAGACAGTGTAATTGATGTTGACTGTATTCCAGCTTCCAGCTGCTGTATGTTATGATGTTAGAAGAGCAGCATCCAACTTGCTCTAAAGTTGTTCACGTCTTCTTGTTTTCAGCTTTTCATTACGTTATCAATTCAGTTATCCAAAATAAATATGTAATAATAATAACTAAATACACTATATTGCCAAAAGTATTCACTCATCTGCCCTCCAACATGTATGAACTAGAGTGATGCCCCATTCTTAGTCCATAGGGTTTATTATGATGTTGGCTCACCCTTTGCTGCTATTACAGCTTCAACTCCTCTGGGGAAGGTTCAGGAGTGTTTATGGAAATTTTTGACCATTCTTCCAGAAGCACATTCGTGAGGTCAGACAGTCTGCGCTCAATTTCACCCCAAAGGTGTTCTGTCGGGTTGAAGTCAGCCAGTCAAGTTCTTCCACACCAAACTTATCCATGTCTTTATGGATGCTGCTTTGTGCACTGGTGTGCAATCATGTTGGAACAGGAAGGGACCATCCCAAACTGTTCCCACAAAGTTGGGAGCATGAAATTGTGCAAGATGGCTTTGTATGCTTTGTTATAATACCAGTAACAGTGATTGTGGAATATTTAGTAGCAAGGAAATTTCATGAGTGGACTTATTGCACGGTACCATGCTGTAACTCACTGAGCTCCTGAGAGCGACCCATTCTTTCACAAAGGTGTGTAGAAGCAGTCTGCATGCACGGGTGCTTGATTTTATACACATGTGGCTGTGGAAGTGATTGAAACACCTGAATTCAATTATTTGAATGGGTGAGCGAATACTTTTGGCGGTCTATATTTATATAGTTTGTCTAGAACACGTTTTAGCATGTGATGTGTGTCCACTTACAGCCAGCTGCTGCTGTAGGCTCTTGATCTGAGCTTGGAGTGTGTCGATGGGCTGCGTCTGCCTCTTGGGTGTGTTGCTTGTGTATGTCAGCTGGGACAGACTATTCAGCGCCTGCTTTAATCGCTCAACGTCTGTAAGCAACTCTGTGATCTGTCACACAGACAAAGAGCAGGACAAATATCGACGTTAAAGATCATTTAATGTCGATCAAGGATATCCACAGTAGAAATGGAAAAATGTCAGAAAAATCTTTTTCCTCTATTCGTCAACATAAATGACAAACGCGTCTCAGTGGTCATTATCATGCTTTTCATTGTTACAGTGGCATTTAGAGTTTATGTGAAACACACATAAAATTTATCAAAATCTCTCAAATGAAACTGGGAACAATTAAGACTATACTGTGAATTGTTTTGTACCTTCTTGTCTTTGGCTTCAGTCTGCTCAGCTGATGTTTGAATCCTCTTCTGCAGGTCACAGATGGTGGTGAGGGACTCATCGTATCTCTCTTTCAGCTCTCTGATCTCCCTTTCGATGGCGCGCCCCTTCTCCTGGACTGCCTCCATCTCCGTCCTCGCCCTGCTCTCGCCCTCTCTTGCTTTTGTTGCCTCCTGATGGACCTTTTCACGCTCTTCTACCAAGCTCAGCAGCTTGTTATTCAGGCTGGCGGCCTCCTCCTCCAGCTGCTGTTTCTCCTTCTTCAGCTCGTTCATTTGGTCTTCCTTACAGCGGATCTCTTCGAGAGCCTGAGTAGCCTGAAGGAGCTCTGACTGCAGAGCAGATACATCTTCCGCCCTCTGGGCGTTGTTTTCCTCCTCTTCGCGGAGAGCCAGGTGTAGCTTAGCCACTTCAGCCTCCAGGGCTTCCTTGGCCTCGGCATGCTGCTGCAGAGACTCCTGCTCCCGGTGGAGTTCCTGCACTTCTTTCTGAAAGGCGCACACCTTCTGGGCCTCCGCCTGCTGCGCCTCTCTTGCTTTCTTGCAATCAGCCTGCGCTTGCTGTAAGGCATCATTGAGGGCTTTGAGCTCGGTGTCGTATGTCGATATGCGTGTCAGCTCTGACTTCAGACGCTCCTGTAGGTTTTGAATTTGAGCATTGCACAGGGCATTTTGCTCTTGAAGTTCAGCTTTCTGAAGTGTTACCTCGTCGAGCTGCTGCTCTAAGTTGACCAACTTCTGGGTCAGTTCTTCACATTTAGCCTTGAACTCCTCCTCATTTTCTTTGTGCTTTTCACTGGAAACCAGAGCGACGTCTAGTCTCTTCTGAACAGATTCCACCTCAACTTTCAGTTTCTTTTCCTCCTGTCTGTTGCCCTCTCTGGCAGTCTTTTCTTTGTCATACTTCTCTTCCATTTCCAACAGTTTTGCTGTCAACTCTTTAACCTGGGTGCTGTAAGAGGTTTCCTTCTCCTCAGCTGTTGTCAGAGGCACAAACTTAGACTGAATAGCCTCCTGTATGGTATCAAGCTCTTTCTTCTGAGCCTCCAGTTCGTGAGTAAGCTTAACAGTTTCATCCTGAGCCAACGCATGCATTGCAGACGCCTCATTCGCTCTATTCTCTGCCTCGACCACGGCAGCATTCAGCTTGTCTGTGATAGCTCTGTGGTCTTTTACACTGATGTAGTCGTTTTTCATCTCCAGCAGAACTTTTTCTAACTTTTCTTTTAACTTTTCATTTCCTTCTTTCACATTCTTCAACTCTTCCCCACTTTCTTTTTCCCTTGTCTCCAACTTTAACATCTCAGCTTTAACGCTCTCTAAGGTGGAACTTAACTCCATTTTCACTTGCTCGTGCTGCTGTCTGGGAACATACTGTCCCTCCAAGCTCTCTTTGAGAGTCTGACTCTGTGTGGCCAGCTGCACACACTCTTTATCTCTGTCTTCACATCTCTTCTGCAAAAGCTCAACTTTCTTTATCAGGTCGGCATTCTGACACCTCATAGTGTCCATCTCACTTTGTTGTTTCTCACTCGTGCTGCTGAGGCTGCTGATATTCTTCTGCAACGCGCCCCTCTCGGTCTGAAGCTGTTGGACTTGTGCCTCTGCTCTTCCGCAACGTTCGCCGGCTTCCACCAGTTTGTCCTCGAGATCCTCCAGAGCCGTTACCATGTTCCTCCGTACTTCCTCGTGGTTCTGTATCGGTATAAAGTCCACCTCAATCCTGCTGTTAAGCTCATCCAGCTGCTCTTGTAGCATGTCTTTTTCATCCTCACTCTTCTCAACCTCATGAATCAGAGCCTGGCTTTTTGCAGTCACCTCCACCAATGTCTTTTTCAGGGTAGCGTTCTCATCTTCCAGTGCTGCCCAGACCTGCTGCTCCTCAGCAGACAACGGCCTCGGGCCTCCCTGTGAGGAGGGGCTGTCTAGCTTTCGATGGAGCTCCGCCACCTCCTCCAGCACCCGATCGTAGTCTTCCCTCAGCTCGGCGAGCTGCCGTTCCTTCTCGTCAACTGCATTGGTGAGCAGGTTTTTCATGTTGTCGAACTTCTCGGCTGGTACGGTGTTGCCATGTTTAGTCTGGGCCTCTTTCAGCTGGGTTTCCATTTCTAAAAGTGTTTCTCTCAGTACGTCTCGCTCTGCAGTCAGATTTTGGACATCATGGTTCAGCCTCTCCGTCTCAGCTGCTAGTTGGCTCTCACTGCTCTTGTACTCCTCCAAGGCCTTCTCACTCTGCTTGAGGCGGTTGCGAACGCGGCCCACTTCGGCCGAAGCACCTTCATACTTGGCCTTGACGTCCTGGAGCTGAGTGCGCAGTTCTTCTGCCGCTTGGCCTCCTAAATGTTCTTTGACAGCGACTACGTGGGCTTGCAGCTGTTTGACCTTGCACTCAGAGTCCAGCATCCGTTTCTGGACGTCTCCCAAGGCGTCCTCGAGCTCTTGAACCTGCTGGTCAGCCTGTTTCTGGATGGTGTCTCGGCTCTGAAGTAGCTCCTGGCACTCTCTGGTTTTACGGCTCAGTGCAGACTGAAGCCGTGTCGTCTCCTCCTCAGCTGCCTGCTGTCTTTTCTTGACTGCCTCAAGTTCATTTCGGAGCGCATCCAGCTCACCAGGAAGACCCTTCTCCAGCGGTCGGGATAATGAACGTGAGAGGGGAGGATTTCTGAGCATCTTTAGAGAGAGATGGGAAAAAGATGCTGAATTAGTATATAAACATATAGTATATGTTTATATTGCACAATAAAGTCATTCACAGCTTTGCCCCACCCACCACTGTACATTCAAACCTTTTAGATGTAAACTATGAAAGAAAGACGTGCATAGACACCAGACACATGCAGCACATATAAAACTGTTCACAGGGGGGGAAATACCTGATCAGAATCCAGGCTGTGACCTTTGACAAAAACATTTTCTTTACCTGCAACACAACAGCACACAAACGTAAAACTAAAGCAAACACAAACTCTGCTGCTAAAGTTTGAAATTACAGTCTTTTCTTTATGGTCCAAAATAAGCAGGAAGCTGACCTTTGATAACCGACTGACCAGAGTATTCCCCCTGTGAAAACACAGATGGACAAATCGATTACAAACTGACCGATTAGACAGAATACATAAAAATACAAATAAAATAACACTGCTGTAATCAGAAGGCTGCACATGCCTGTTAAACTTGAATCCGAAAACATTTTACTTTCATAAGGATTACCTCGAAGCAGAGACCACACACATGCATGAATTCACTAACCAAAGTACTCCGGAGCTGGACCTTGACAGTCTCCTGCCCTCGAGCGCCTTCATCTTTTTCTTTGGTGCTGAGTAACATCTTCAACTGTTCCTTCTAATAGAAGAAGAAGAAGAAGAATGTTAAAAGCAGTGAGGGTAAGAACTCACACTTCAACACTTTAAATGAAATGTTCAGAAAAGGCCAAACCAATCAGACAATTTACTCTGAAACAGTTCGTAACATGAAAAACACAGATGTCAGATAATGTACCTACTAACCATATGTCTAAATGCATCTACTCCCTATGTGTGCTACAGTTTGTGTTATCACCACTGATGTTTCTAATTCAAAAAGTTTTAACAGCATCAGATATTAAAGGGGCTTAGCGAAGACGTTTGGATGTGCTGCAGGCAGAGTGAAAAACGAATGCTTCTACAGGCAGCAGAAGTCAAAGGGAGGGAGGTGAGGCCTGAAGTCCCGAAGAGAAGAAATCTGGTCTGCAGGTTGGCACATCTTTACGAGACAAAACTGCTCCTGCGCCCAAGATACTAAGCTGCAGGCAAACACTGATCCGCGCACGGTAAAATAAATCCACAAAACACCTCGACATCCATGGCTTTAAAGGGCGAGCAGCTTCACGCTTATTTATAGACTAGTTTAACAATTTCCTTTTACTTTGAAGTGACTGTTATTTATTCCTTATTTATTAAATGCTGATAACCTAAAAAAAAAAAAAAAAGGGAAGAGCTCTTGGAAGAAAAGAGTTCACTGTGCACAGGACACAATTTCACAAAGAGCAAGCTACAATCATTAACCAGCACTGTCATACAAAGTGTTTCCTTGTTGTTCAAGTTACTTATGCATGCAGTTTATAATGAAGGATAAAAGCGAACATTGTGAATGAACCACAGGCAGGAGTAAGTGGTTATTTTTCTATCATACCTCTTTTTGAGAGTCTTCTGCGGCCATTTTTTCCTGCAGATGAAAAAGGATCACAAGTCAACTCACGTGAGAGATTAATAAATGACAGCTGATTTCATTTAATTGAATTTCCTTGCCCTTCTGCGTATTGGAAATTGTTCTGGCAGCTAATAGCAGGCAGCTATCATGCTCACTTAAGAAAGTCTCCCTTTTTTTAATATAATTATAAGCCAGCTCTTCCTCCTCAACACCTAGGGTTAGAAAATTATCACACATTTCCTAAATTACACTCCTTATGTTAGAGGAAAAGGAGACATTATGCCAAAGCAGCGTGACTCAGCTTAGCTGTTGTTATTACATTTTACTTTAATTCATCATTTCAGTCCTAAGGAGGACTTGCAAAACCATCCGGCAGGTGCAGTGAACAAAGTGAGCCAGACGCCTGGAAGGCTTTACTGTACCGTTGTGCACAGGGGCTCTGTCACTGTGGGAATACATTAGCCTGGATTTACCTGGGTGAGCTGTTGCTGGAGCATGTTGACTTTATCTAAGAGAGCTTTCTGCTCCTGGTAGTACTTCCTGAGGCCTTCCTGCAGAGTCTCATTCTGCCTTTCCAGATCCTGAATAACAAACAGCAAAAAAAGACAAAACTTTAAACAAATACCGTAATTAAAATGATGAATCAAAAATAGAAAAGACTGTTTGTGTGTAATGAGTACGGTGACGTTACACAGCACTTACATGTATGATCTGATCCTTTCTGTTAATCTCAGCTGCCTCTGGTCTCTCCACTGAATGCTGAGGATAAGACAAGATCTTAATTTAACATTACCACAGTCATGAAATCACAGAACAATTCTCACTTATAGGCACTAGATGGCAGCGTTGCACAACTGAGCAGATCTATGTAGCCTGAAATGTATAAACGGTGTGCTGAACAACAGCAAAAAAGATGTTGAGAGATGTGGAGGGAGCAGCAGGAGAGGGCGAGGTTACAGTGATGGAAATGTAAGCAACTCTGACCACCGTTATCTTTAACAAATATAGAGCCTCAGCACCATTTCCATTAGGCTACATGTCACCATGACATACTCCACAATGAGTGAAATGTGGAGAATAACAAATGCTCTTTATTATTATATTAAAGAGACTTAAAGATGATGTGATTTTTGCATGTTTCAGCGTTACCTGTCGCTTCCACTGTTCTATCTTTGCGGCTTCTTTATCTGCAACACAACCAGAAAAGCGAAAGGTGACATTTCATTCCTCCGCTGTTTGTTATCAGGATAAGACAAAAACACGTTCAGAGAGAACGCAACCAAGGAAGGCAAAAGGAAGCAGCTGTGAAAGTGTTGTAAGACATGTAGAACAAAAAAAACAAAACACAGGATTTGAAATGTATAACTTTGTATACTTATGATTCGAAACCAGCAGATACTTAAAGTTAAATAGCATCTTGTCATTATTGATAGCATATGTAATAATAGTACTGTCATGTAGCCTAAAGGCTACACTTTTGTTAGTCTTTACAAAAATCACCTTTCACTTTGTACGTAAATAATCTGGTGAGCCGTCATGCTGATGTGTTTTATGCCACTAAGTATCCAAGTAACAAAAGAAATAAATAAATAGTGTGACACTAAGGTTTAGACCTTTCCTTTATCTTTAGGTTAGTCTGGAAAGTTTTATTTGTTTATTTTCTTCCAAAAGCAAATTTAGAAATAGTCGTTTCTTGTCCTGCTCTCTGACCTCTGTTGGCTTTGTCGATGTAACTTTTGACCATCGCGATGAGCTCCTGGTCCTTGTTGAAGCGAGCGTAGTGATGTGCGTCGTGACCCAAGCCGTCCACAGTCTTCACATCGGCGCCGCTCTTCAGCAGCACCTCCACTGCATCCTTACAGCCGAACTCACAGCCGAGGATCAGCGCGGTCCTGAAGGCGTCAGAGACGGTTTATAATGAAGGCAAAGCTGAATCATCAGAGTGCTTCAAACTGATGGGGATGTACCAGTAACCTGACTGCAGCCAAGGTGTGCAGAAGAGCATTTCTGAACACACAACAGCTCAAACCCTGATGCAGATGGGCTACAGCAGCAGAAGACCACATTGTGTGCGACTCCTGTCAAATCAAATTATCTTAAATTCTGTAACATTCAGAGGGCAGGTTCAGAATTTGGTGTAAACAACATGAACGCATGGATCCATCCTGCCTCATAACAGGGGTTCAGGATGGTGGTGCCTTCATGAGCTCTTGCTACTGCTGTATTTTTCAGTGTTGGATTCTGTTTGCTTCCCTTTTAAAAACAAAACTTTTATTGCCTGTTCAATCTAAACTGGTTTCATGTTAATGTCACAAAAACGCCAGAAGAAATGAGACTTGTTTTAACTTTTCAAACTATATAATCTGTCCAAATCTTGCTTTCCACTTCAATTAAAACTGCTCTAACAGGCCTGCTCGGCAAATTGGAGTGTATCTTACTTGTTTTGTTTGTCCCGGACAGTAATGTCAGCTCCTCGCTCCAGCAACAGCTGACAAATACGGGGATGACACATCTGGGTTGCCAGAATCAGAGGTGTCCTCCCATCCTGAAGAAAGAAAATAAAAAACATTCACATTCCTCTACAGATGTGAGTACACTCCTTCATGATCTGATCCACAAAGAGCATTTATGTAAACTAGGTTAACATGACTTTAAATGTAGTTTAAGACCTCCACACAAGGCAAACTCAAGGACTAAACACAAGCACAAAATGGGCTTGGGCTTTTTCAGAAAAATACTGCAAAACAAAGAGCAAAAGCAATTCTCACAAAATCGGTGGCATTCACAGCCGCCCCGCTGTCACAGAGAAGTTTGACGCTGGAGGCACAGCCCGCCATGACTGTGGAGAAAAAGAACAGAGCGCTGCAATCATTTCATCTCATTTACCACGGAAAAACAAGCACAGACACTGTTGATGTTGAAAATAGTACCATCAAAGCTATACGCAAACCGCCTTTAAACAAACTGCTGAATTTTATTTTCTATAATGTCTCAAACATCAACATCCATATGTACGCATGCGTAGGCTTTGATTATGGAAAACAGTCAAAGAGAGAAAAGAGTAGAGTTTACTCCAGTACACACATACAGAGTAGAGTGAGTACTTGAATAGAACTAAATTGGGTTGATGCTACAGCAGTTACTATTGTGCTACTGCACAGGGTACCAGCTCTATTTTACCGTAGTACACCTATAATTTAGTAGCAGCAGGATAGTTGTTTACTATAATCTTCTACTGCTGCTGTCAGTACTAGTAGATTATAATAGAATCAGGACTACAGTGGACTAGAATAGAGTTTTAAAATACACTGAGCACTTTATTGCAGTGGAATCAGAGCTGGAACAGAGTGATGTCACCTCAACATTAGATGAGAGAGTATACTACTTAAAGCTTTGAACTGAGTCTTTTTTTTTTTCTTAGACCAAAATGCAAAATACACTATATGGACAAAAGTACTGGGCCACCAACACAGGACACCTACAGTAGCTGTTCAGGTATGGGAGCCAATGCCAGAAACTCAGCAGAATGTCAGTGTGCATCAGCACTCAGTGGTCGGACACAGACATGGCTGAGATGCTGTGTTTCCCAAACACTTGCACTTTGCAATAATGCTACTGATTTATGATAGTGGTATATCTAGGAGGGAAGACATTTCATGAGATACAATAGTGGCATCCTTTTACAGCACCAGGCTCGAATTCAGTGAGCTCTTTAGAATTACTCATACTATCACAAATGTATGCAAAGGCCAAATTTTACCTGAATTCAAACATTGAAAGGTGTGGGCCAATACATCTGTCCATATAGTGTACAGTGCTTAACCGCCCATGGATGGTTTATACCACAGCTGCCATAAATTAACAGTACTTGTAAATGCCAAAATAACTTTTTTAATGTTCCTAGAAGTGTTAATACATCACTACATGCAAATTCTTAAAATATAATCATCGTTGTTATATAACTTTAAAATTTGTGGTTTTAGAAAAAATAAGAAAAAAATAGTAAAGTGCATTATTTTTTTTAAATTAAGCAATCATTCCTGAACAGAAAACTTGGTTTTAGTGGTTGCTGGCTCAAATTTGGATATAAAAATTCAGTTAACTGAATTCTTTAATTTTTAGAGATTTCTAAATTATTTGTGCTTCCTTCTTTTCATGACAGGCGGTCACAGCACTGTATGTTGCTCTACAAGTCTGCAGGGATTGGACAGTGGGTGGTGTCCAGAGTTCAAACTCAAAATGCCAAACTGGCTTTTAATGTTTGTAGTACCCCATGCTGAAATCGACTCCCCTTGGATCTCAGATATATCGGCTGTAACCTCTTTCACGCCACATTTTATTATTCTTTGTATTCTTCTTTTGGTTTTATGGTGCATTACTTTTCAGTCTGTTATTTTATCATTTTCTTGAAATTTACAATATTTGTAAAGTCCTTGGAACTACAAATGTTAATGAATTGCTGTGTGAAATAACTTTTCCCTGCCTTGCCGTAGAATAGTCTTACCAGCATCATGTAGAGCCGTTCTTCCTTGCAGGTCCACATTTCCAACTGGAGAGTTGTGCTGTTAAAAACAAAGATAAACTTAGATAAAGAAAATGTAGAAACTGTTACACAGCGTGTATCAAAACAAATAAAGAATATGACTTATTGTCAATATAAAAAGGTAAACTCACACTTTACATTACAGGTTCGTTAGCACAGACCTGTTTCAGTGTATTATAGTATAATGACACTGATTCAAATAACAAAGAAATGACCCCTTAACAATTCTGTTTGGTCATTACTAACATGCACTGTAACTATGTAGGGACACAAAGTGTTTTCAGTGGAGTACAGACACTCAGGTTCTCTTATGCCAGTCTACTTGTCCAGCAGTGGTTTAATTAGGTTTCCTTGTTGCAGGTGTGTCAAACAGGAGCACCCTTAATATCATGTATTTCCAGCAGCTGGCAGTGGAAACTAAAAGGCAGCAGAAGGAAGGTCATATTGGGATAAGTGGTGCTGTGCTCAAATGCTTGTGACATCTACACACAGCCCACTCCACTGACTGGGCTCCAGTGATTGTAGTGCTGTGGTGATGAGGGCTGCAGGACTCGATGCTAACAGGAGCCTGATGTTGCTGGGTAAGCTTGACAGTACGATCTGTCCCCCACTATAAAAACTCCACTCTCTCTAGCAACAAGGGCCAAAAATTAGCAGCATGCTCAAATGACATAGTGAAGAGGGGGCGTAGAACAGCAATGGGAGCTGAAGGTAGCGCATTGGAGGTGGGATATCCTATACCGTGATGGTTTGGGCTGACGGAGGGAGACAGTAGCTGTGGTGGGCATCCAGCTGCTATGTCTGGTGTGATGACGGCACTAAGAATGGATGGCAGGTTTGCAGGAGGGTAGGCTTGTCAACAGCTCTGACAACCCCCTGCCAACAGCCACAACCTCCATTAGATCATTGCCATGCCAGATATGAGGGGGGCATGAGGGGGAAGGGACGCAAGACAATGAGAGCACAATGTTGCAGAGAGACAGCCGCCTTATTGTAAACACATAAATCCTCCAGAGGGCCACGGTGACTCAACAAGCACTACTGTTGACCGATATGGAGTGGCCTCAGTAGCCACAGCTGTTTGGCAATAAGAATTTAATGGGGCTGAGAGGGAATCTCCTCTGACTGACCAGTGACTGTGAAACTGTACCAAATAAAAAGGTAGTATGTCATTTCATTTTGGCATATGTTTCTAACAATGACAGCTGCGCTTTACCTGCAGGAGTTTCTGCACACACAGAGAGTGTCCATTTCTCGAAGCTAGATGAAGAGCACTTTTACCTGAAAGAGACAAAAGCAGTTTTAAAACAACAACAAAAAAAAAGTTAATTTACAACCCACGATTTGCATGTATGCATATTTAGAGAAACACGCCACAACATGCAATTACCCCTCTGATGCACATACTACAAGTGTTTACAGTACATGTGTCGTTTAATCTGTTTAGAGGACTTCAAATGATGTTAGATTAATTCAGTATATTAAATAGCAATGCAATATTTCTGTAAATACAGCATACAGATTTGTTTCAGTCAAACTAGATTATGAAGTAATTTCATTGTTGCTATAATAGCAGTTGTAATTTTAGTATTAAAACCTTTGTTACGCCCTTTATAGGGATGGGATTGCCGTTTTCTTCAGTCTGTGGAAAGTAACAGCATCATGTCATTTGTTCTTCAAAGTATTTAGCATTACCACTCTTTTGAAGGTTGCATACTCTTTGCCTTAGTCGCTCTGCAGTGAGAACTGCTGTCACCAGTGGATAAAATTTATGACGGTCTGCTCAGGTCCAAGCAACATATACTCACAGCTGCAGAAATATATTGCGCCTTTAAGGGTCTGTGAGTGTGCATGCTAAATGGTTCTGAGCTATGATGGTGATCATGCTCTTTTTCCAGTTTCCATAGCGCTTTTTTACATTTCACAGAGCGTTTGCAGACAAGTCAGTGTCTTCTATCCAAACTCTGAGTGACTGCTACGATCTGCTAGCAATCAAAGCAATCACGCACGAGGTTTTTGGTGCAACAAACTTACCAGCGGCGTCACTCGCAGTCACATCAACATTGTGTCCCAGGATGAGATTGAGGACTTCTAAGTGTCCTCGTGTTGCAGCCAAATGAAACCTGGAAAACAAGAGAGAGATGGAGATTAATTAAAAATTAATAAATAAGAAATAAAAAAGCCAGAAAAGACTGGCAGGGCATGGGTGAGAGGTATATAGCAGAGAGCACAGAGTTGAGAAGGGCAAGTGAAAACGTGATAGGGTGTAAAGAGACAGGGGAGAGGGTAAAACTGAGAGACAAGAGAGGGGCTGCAAACTGATGCCTGGCTCCAAGCTATCAGCAGGATCAGCATTCTCAAAACATAACGAGAGCCCTCAGGGTTTGTGAGGTCTCAGTGACAACTAGGAGCGACACAAACTTGTTTGTTTTGCAGAACAAAAACCGTGTCTACCGACAAAAAATGTTGAATGCATGGTAATAGCTAATAGTTAATAGACATGAATAGTAAACTTATTGATATCTACAGCATCAATCAAGTGTTGTGACTGGGATACCCAAGCCAAATTATCAAATCTATCGACCAATGAGAACCATGTGACTCGACTGAACATACTCAGTGCAAGTTGGAGCGAAAGTGTTTAATGCACGATTGCTACACAGTGCACATATTCCCTTGTTAATTGCCTACTTAGTTAAGCCGTTTCCCACTGCACGTGTTTGCCAACATGTATTTAATCATCACCTTCAACTGGAAACGTTCCAGCTGCGCTTGTCCAATGTAACTCACAGCAGCACTGCTGCTAGTCTCCATGCAAGACTGCGGAGCACTTGTGTGTAAGCTAATCTCTGTCTGACACCCACCCGGACACATGAGCCCGTTCATACACTAACCCCAAGTTATCTGCCAAGGAGACAGCTCGGCTGTCACCTCAACACTGGCGTGGGTATTAAAAGCAGTGTTGATGACCAGGAGATGCTGATCTTCTGTGGAGCAGTGGCGTCTTGGGCTCTCCAGGCCAAACAGCAGACGGGAAGCAGAGTAAAGCTATCCAAGTGGGGTGATACCCCTCACTAAGTTCATAACCTACATCACTTTCCATAAGGGAACTCAAAGAATGCTTTGAAATAAAGTTAAAGGTACATAAGTGCAATTAATTGAGTGCATTTCCCCATGACTTTGAAGAATAGAGAGCGATGACTGTCTTGACAGCAAATATAACTCAAAGCCAAAATGGTCAAGCCTGAAAATCTGGCCTGTCTCTACAATAATAAAATAAAGGCAAAAATGCCAAAAATCCATCTTAAATAAAGTATGATATTCAACAAATGCAAAGGACTGATGCTATAAATACATGGAGACCTCAGTGAAATGGTTAGACAAGATTTTTTTTGGAGACTAATGGCTCTGGCTTTAACAGAGCACATTACATTTTCACATCTGCTCCTTGGGGAGCTTTCAGGTTGTCAGTCTACTGGATATGGCTGCTATTTTTAAAAGAGTCCACTTGTTTCTGTTTTCTATCAAACCCTAGTATGACGCTAGCTGAACCATGTGTGACAAAGTGCGTCTCTGAGGATACAACAGTCCATGTTCATATCTTACATTTATCTGAAGATAAATGTAAGATATCTGAAAGTGAATATTGGTATGTGTGCACAAAAACATGCTGCTCTACTCGTTTCTGTAAAGCTCTGTCAATCACTGCTGCGCTTAGTTTTAAGAAAGTCCTCTAATGCCAGTGGTAAGTCACAACATCCATCGTATCAAAATGAGAAGGTCAACGTCGTTGCCTGGTAGCCAGACAAGGAGAACATTGCAATACATTTGATATATAACAAAGAGAATGGCAGCGACTGCTTAGTGTTACTTCCTGTAAATCTATCATCAAGTTGGCCTCAAGATCACACACACACACACACACACACACACGAAACTCAGATCTTACAATAGTTAGATTAAAAAAAAGCACCCCCCAAAAGCACTTGAGCACAAAATTAGCTATTCACTCAGTGCCAGGATTGTGCTGGAGGTTTAGCTGACTGACTGTCTTTAGTGGTATGCTCATGCTGTCATGAGAACTACTTTTGCTACTAGGCCCTTGTCTGCACAGAATGAGCGTTAGTGATGGGTGGGCTTACCACGCTGAGATCCAGCTAAAGCCACAGCAGAGATGCAAACTGTTTACTCAGCTGGAAGGTGCGATAGAAACACTTAGGGCTGAATTCATTAGCTCTACACAACGAGGCTAATCCAGGGCACACCAAATGATATATTGGGGGTAACAGCTTGTAATTAGTTTCCCCTCAGAGGTCCATGATTATAAGGAATCACCATTCAACATTCCTTTGTGGGCTTTTGCAAAGGCCAGAATACCATATGCACATGTGTGCGTGTCTGTGTGTGTGTGGCCCAGTGAACTATAAGTGGCCTGGCTGAGTTGCGGTTCACTTTTGTTTTGGTTAGACGTGGCAAAATCGTGACCTCTTCCGGCCCCCCCTCGAATATTCATTCATTTTACAGTTAACTGGTTCTGATCCACAGGGGAACAGCGAATGATAAGCATGACTGTGTTTGGAAACAACAACCTCTGCAGGCTGTGGTTCTGGATTTAGTTCTGACAAATTCTAGCACCTTATTATGAGACCAGGCATTTATCAGGATGTGTGTATAATTGTGTTTATTCGCATGCATGTGCACATCGGTCTATGCGGTGGTGCCACAAGAGAATTTCACACACTGCTGAAAATACTCTGCACCTTTGCAGTCTGGGATCTGGAGCTCCAGAGTTTTATGGTTTAACAAAGGCTTTGTCAAAATAAACGCGCAGCACGGGCCAGAGACGAGTGACTCATTCATATATCTAGGATTAAACCGAGGGCGCCTGCCCGCCCGAAAAACTGGTGTCAGAATCTGTTTAAATTTAGGAAGAAAACAGAGCACCTCACTTTAAAAAAAACAAAAAAAACCAAAACAGGTCAATGTATTGTTTTTCAAGGCTGAACCATTTTTAATAATAGCACTACATTAAAGGTCTGTCTGGGAGATGTGTTCATATCTGTGGTTTTGGATGGCTGAGATGCAACATCAGAGAATTCCTCATACACATTTCAGACTGACCTATTTTCTTTCTATTTCTTACTGCCCTGTTAACACTGCAGGGCGCATATCGAGTTAGTAGGGAAAAAAAACAACAACCTCTGAATATATCAGGTTCTCACTTAAAACATGCTCCTCCTCCAAGATGTCAAGAAATCGTGGTAATGGCCTGCAACAGGGCCTAAATGTATTACTTGGTGTTGCAAGAATCACAGTGGATCTAATCTTAATTTGCAGAGAGTCATTTCCTGTAGGGACTACATAAACTGCCTCCGGACAATGTGGTCAAGCCTCGTGTCCACGGACATTCTTTACACCAGCTCCCACACTGACCTCCGGTCAAAGGGAAACTAAAAGGGAAATTTCTGGATATAAAAAATGGAGACAGAATCATGTACAGCACTCGTTTCATTTTGTTGTGTTTATATTTGTGGAGGTTCATACAGGGGTAACGTGGTGCTTATTTAAGACGTTCTGGAGCTAGAGTGACCTAATTGTGAAGGAATCTTAGAGAAGCTTTATCTGGAAAAAAAGGTCAGGAATGTCACGCGGTGGGGAGGTCACCACAATGTTTGGAATTGCTGTTGCTGGTTTTAGATTTACAAATCTTTGCCAATCCATGCTGGACTCAAACAAACACAAACGTTTCAGTGATTTCTGATCTGTACACTGTCATCTCACTGTACTACACTTCGTGTGGTACGCGCGTGTGCTGCTGAAGCTCAAAGCTCTGACTATACATGTCAACATACTGCACATGGATGCATGTGTGTCTGCATGCGCCTGTGTTTACTTACGCAGAGCGTCCTTCCACGTCAAGCTTAGTGGGGATGATGCCCTTCTTGTTGAGAACAGCAGACACCTTGTCCACCTCGCCACGCTCCACTGCCTTCATCAGCCGATCATCATACTTGTTCCAGTCTGTGTTCTGTCGATGATGATAGCAAACTATCAGACATTTCTAACCAAACAGTTATGTATTTCACCAAGGCTGTACTTAGTTTAACAGCTGAGAGTAATAGCTATAATTTGGTCCCCAGGAGTTTTAGCTGACTACTAAACGCAAGCCGGGCACAAACACACATAGAACAAAGTCCATTTCTGAGTCATTTTTCCTTTTCTGCTATAATAACAGACAAGAATAGACCTTAATGTGCCAGGAATTTAAAACGCTTCATGAGTTGTTGCTACAAAGCAAGGAAACAGTACTCTTAAACCTCCTGATAAGAATGTGGCTCTTTACACTGAAAGTCAAAATAAAGACAAAGCAAAAACAAGCAAGTGCAAATTTTAATCATAACCAAGATTCAAAACAGGCGATGTGTACACAGAGAGCTGATCTAAGAGTTCTGCCACTGCACTGCTGCTTCTGTAAAGCACAGCTTTCGGCTACATTCACACTGTTCATGAAATCAGAGCTCCAATAACGGTGGTGACAAGGTAAAATTATTGGCAATGAATACCTACAAAGTGCACGGAGGTGCATTTCAGCCAGCGGCTCATCTTGGGTGAGTGGACCTGGTCCTTGCACCGTGCTACTGAAAAAGTTGCCACTTTTCTGGTTTACAAAAGCAAAACTAGAGAAAAACAGTACAAAAATCCCCTCAGTCTCTCAGTGCACTCAACCAGTGAGTGCAACAACAAAAAAGAAAGGATGAGAAGACAGAAGGGTGAGAGTCTGTAACGCAGAGGAGGTCCTCTTATGGGAGGTTTAACCTCAGGAATCTTTCTCACTTGCGGCAAAAAAGTTCATTTCGCAAGATTTTTCTAAGCATTCCTCTGTTGCTCATGAGCGCTTCCGGCAAGTTCATCACTGCACAGCAGTTTAGTTGATCGTTAAAGGGAGGAGAAGGAGGAGTGATTGAGGAGAAAAGAACAGAGGTGGAGAAGCAGTAGGGCCAGCCCTGCCAGCCCTGGGACCTGCCCTGGCCGGCAACTGCAACTCCTCCTCTGGTGGGGGAAGTCAGCTCAGCCTGGCTACCGTTCACCTCCCTCAAGTGCCGTCACCTCCTTTCCTCAACTCAGTCTCCCTTTCTTCTGGTACTCTTCCTGCTGTTTTCTGTCTGAAAAAACAAACTCAACGCTCTTTCTTGTCGAGTAGTAATGAAGGGTTTCTATCGCTGCCTCTTCTCTTCTCTATCAGTGGTCTCCAGCTTCTTCACCCCACCAAATGGCAAGGTCAGTCAGGCTCAGTGGGGTAAATATGTGAACTCTCACAGGTTTAAAATATCACCCCCTCCCTGGTAAACAGCAGCGGTGCAGACAGCCCTGCAGACTGGTTACCTCTTTATTTTTTGACCCTCCAACCTTTCTGTAGTGACTGATAGGAAGACAGTGGCTAAGAATACATTCTGGACATGCCTCCAGCATGAGTAATGGCTTTAATGTCCATCAGCACTGCCAGCATGCGACAAGGCCAGCCAAAAAGACCGTGCTTACATCGACACCCCCCCCACACACACACACACCATGCTCTCTGCTTGCCTCCCATCTGAAAATATTAATGTCAGAGGGGGATTATGGTTTGCACATTTTGAAGTGGTCTTGGCACTGACCCTCAAAGGATACTACGGGGTAAAAGCTGCTGTTAACCCATCCATCTAAACGGGGTGGTGTGGCTCCAAAGCCCCGTGATCCTTGCAGTGTGGCAACAGGGTTAGACGACAGCCTTTTTACAACCGTCTGTGACTGCAACCCCTCCAAAACCTGCATCTATATTGCCTCCTCGCTTTCACTGATACACTTTAAAAGCACAACTTTAACTTACTGAGTAAAACATCACAGAAAAAAATAAGTTTTTTTTAAAAAAAAGGGGGACACACAGACATCAATCTATGGTGAGGAAGACAGGATACAAGGAGACCCGTTTAATTTACACACTACATCAGCTCCTCATGTTACTGCCCGCTGCCAGACTGGCGTTAACAGAGCAACACTGATATCCACAAACATGCAGAAAGACCTCCTCCGCATGACATGTCGTATCATAAGGAGTAGGTGTCAACTTACGAAAGCTGCTCGCCCTCGCATGGAGACAAAGCCGCCAAAATGGCACCTAGCCATCACATACGTCGGTCACGTAAATATCTCACACTGCTTTGCTGCTGTGTGTATTTGTTTGGGAATCTGTTTATGTACTAGTTAATATTAGGGCTGTTAGCAAGCAAGAGGTGCCACCGCAGTAGTCCCTGTCTTTCAAGGGGAGCTGATGGACATATAATAACTTGATGTTGTGAAGAGAAATAGATCATCTGTGCTTGTTGTTGTAACATATGTGACTTAAACTATCTGCAAACTGAACAGAACAGCAAACGGGAAACTAAAAAAAGTTTTCCAGATATGATTCCCACTTTCTTGAGCAGTCAAAGGTTTTAAACGTGAATGAGTTTCCTTTACGAGCTGGAAGGATGATGATTGCAACAGATGACAATATCTAGTTACATTTAATGACGCCAACATGATATCAATGTATCTTCCTGTTTTACTTTCATATCTCAAATTGTACATTGCTGACACATATTTACCAGGATCAGGGGAAATACTCCCTATACTTTAACAGAACAAAAAAAGTAATGTTTTGGCTAATTTAGAGATATCGCACTTTTGTTTATAGCAGTCTGAGCACTGTTTGAAGTAAATGCAGCAGAGTCATCCAACTAAATTACCGATAGTCAGAAAATCACCAGTTATTTTCTTGAGGATAAAAGCTTCACGTGGGAGTTTCCCTCCAGGACTAATCCATTGCTTTTGCCAGTGAGATAAAACAATCTACCCACAAAGAACTGCGTGTTCTGGAAACACCTCTGCTTTTCCATGACACTGGACCTGGCCTGAATGCTAGGTCATCTTTGAAATGACCTGGCATTTACTTGACATTTATTGAAATTAACGGGTTGCAAACAAGCCGTTTGGATGACCGCATGACTAATCTGACATCCGAGGAGCAGCTTGAATGGCATCTGTGATTCATTTCAAATTGCTTAATCGCAGTTGTGTGGAAAAGAGTTAGGACCTTTTTCTTCAGTACTAAATAATAAACAGTTGTATCCTTTAAATACTCTTCTCCCTAAAGTTTGACGTTTTGAAGGGGAAACTCCTACAAATAAATATGCAGTAAGACCAGCTGCAGAAATAACTGAGTCCATGGCTTTACATCAGCGGTCCCAAACCTTTTTTGCGCCACGGACCGGTTTATGTCCAACAATATTTTCACAGACCGGCCTTTAAGGTGTCGCGGATAAATACAACAAAATAAAACCAGTACCGATACCAAAAAAAGAAGATTTATTAATAACACACTAGAAAAGACCCAGGGAAACAGAGTTAATGATAAAAAAATAACATAAACCCTCGCAGCCCAGGGGTTGGGGACCGCTGCTTTACATGATTACATTTTCCCCGCACCTCTTTTGTAAATCCTGACAGTAGTGGTTCTTTGAATCTACTACATAAAGCAGCAGATTGAGGTTTATCTATAGATTCTTTGAGCTTGAGATCCCATCCCAGGGGCCTTAACACAGGGTGAGACCTCGTCTTATTGTTTCACCTGAAACCTCTGATAATGACCCACAACCTTTTTCACACCTTGGCTCATGCGAGGGGGGTACACGTTTGCAAACTACTGCTGTCGAATTTATACATGCAGACATGCCAACACATTGCCATCAGTCTATGTCAGTGAGCACAACTCGAAGAGACTCAACTGGCTGCCAGCTGGTTCTGTTAAATGTGAATTTCTGTGCAGACAGCAGCAGATATGCTCATTTATCACTCCTGTATTATAGGAAACAGACTGGATGCAACTGCCATAGGCTGACTGTAAAAAAAAAATTCCAGCTTTGGATCATTTTGGATCGGACCAACATCCCAACATCCCAACATCCCATTTATCCAAATATTGAATAAATGTATTCCTAATTGGTACCCAAAGCCATGTCATTTAGTAAAAAAAGTGGTCATGTTTATCTGCTGGGCTGAATATCTACACCATTAAAAAGCCCATCCACACACATGACTTGAACACTTGTGATACTGTAATCTCCACAAAGGCAGGGCTCATTAGCATTGCTGTAACTGGAGCCACAGTGAGACTTCAAGAGATGTACACAGAAGTAAAAAAAAAAAAAATCTCTGTAATTTTTTTAATTAGTCCTGAACAGAAAACCTTAATAGGCATGGAGCAGCCAGCTTTACAGTGTCTGTATTAAACCTGCATACAAGACGTTACTGACTCAATATTCTGCTAAAGCTTCTATTTTAACACAGTGACCTCGAGGACAAGACGTCACCTGACATTGGATCAGACAGGTTAGACCGTTCTACCTGTCTGCACAAATTATTCTGGCTGCCTGGTAATATGCCACTTAGAGACTCTCGCCATCTTCAGCTCAGATGTTCAGTCACTTCTCCAACACCTCGGTTTCCTGCCCCTCTCAGCTGCTGGCGAGACTAATAGGTCTCCAATATCCTCACAGATGAAATCACCAGCAAGAAATATCTAAGCGGTCATCTGATAAGAGACTGAAGTCAGGATCACAACATAAAGCTTTACGCCAATATGGTAAGTGATAGTTGTGTCCAACGTCAAACTGCAGTTACAGATCTAGTTTTATGATATCCACTACGGGGATCCTCTTGATTATAAAAGTCATCTGCGAAGACACAGACATTAAGCCATGAAATATAACCCTTTGACAATTTATAGGAAATGTGTCTCTGTAAATACAGGCAGAATCTTTTTCCCATTTAGAGCTTTATCTCAAGCTTCAGATTTTCAGAAGTCTTCAGAAGTCAGACGTGTAATGCAGCACATGGGTGAACTCAATGGATGCATTGATCTTCCTCACAGGGGTTCGTGTGAGCTCAAATGGAGAAATGTTCCAAAATTCATCTGAAGCTAAACTGAGGCTTCAGAATAAGATATAATAATGCAGTCGAAATGTAGCTTAAAGAGGACATGAGTAAGAGTTTAGAGACATATACACTCAGTGGCTGCTTTGTTACATAAACCTGTTCAACTCTGCATTAATGCAAATATCTAAATCAGCCAATCAAACTCGGTGCATTTAGGCATACAGAGATGGTCAAGATGACTAACTTAAGGTCATAAAGAGCATCAGAATAGAGCAGATGGTTGAAGTGACTCTGAAAATGGCATGGTTGTTTTTGCCAGAGGATTTTTCAGAAATTGCTGATCTACTGGGATTTTCCCACACAGCCATCTCTAGGGTTTACAGAGAATGGTCTGAAGAAGAGAAAATATTCAGCGAGCCACAGTTTTCTGCAGGAAAATGCCTTGCTGATGCCAGAGGTCAGAGGAGAAAGGCCAGACTCCTTCAAGTTAATAGAAAGGCAACAGTAACTCAAATAACCACGAAGGCATGCAGAAGAGACTGTGCTGTATCATACCCTCTGTGACAATACTGTATGCATTTTTATGTGATATAAAAATGTCAAGTTGTGATATCATTCATTTACGTTCCCTGCTGTGTGTAACAGTGAGACTAGCTCAGGCATGTCAGAGCATAAGAGCTGCGTGTCAACCTCCAATGATGCTCTAGTACCTATATATGAAGTTTCTTATAAAACCTCCAACAAAGTGCAACTATTGTGGAAAAGACACACCGCTGAGTACGAACAGTCTGTGAATGAAGAGGTGCTAGCAGCCGTAGATGTGCAGCCCAAATGACTCCACTGAGCAAGATACAACATCCCTGGTAGTTTTTTAGCTTTACTATATGACATTCTTGAGCATATCCTGATGAGGTACAAGGTTGTGATACTTTAGGTCTTGTTAAAGTGAAGTGTTGGGAATTATTTTCACATACAATTTCCAAGGAAAACACTACATAGGCTACTTTTGTGCTTATATTTGACTTAATCTTGCTCTGCTGCTGTACTGCTGGAACCTTGTTTCAATAGAGTCACATTTCAATCTAGGAAGTATATCATCAGTGACAGTAGCTCAGTTGAAAAATCCTGTTCATTAACGTACACTTCCGAATGCTGCTGCCTGCAAACATCAACAAAATGTTCTGGGGGTTTTTCCCTTTATCATCAGAAATATTGTGTTCACAAATTTTCTTGATATATTGTGATATAATTATAAGATTATACTGCTCACCCCTAACACACACCAAACATTGAAGCAGGGAGTCTACAGCAGCAGAAGACCACACTGGGTTACTTGTCAGCTAAGAACAAGAACTGAGGCTACAATTTGCACAAACTCACTAATAATTCGGCAAAAGCAGACTGGAAAACTGTTGCATGGTCTGATGAGCCTCGAGGTCTGCCACAGCATTTGGATGGTACAGTCAGAATTTGGAGTAAACGACACAAAAGCACAAATCCATCCAGCTTTGTATAAACAGTTGGTGATGGTGGAGTGGGGAATATTTTCTTGACACACTTTAAGTTTTTAACCAGCCACCATCAGTTCAACAACATCCACCGGCAACTGGCAGCATATTTGCAGCTCTGTGTGTGAGCTGTGCATTTTTGTTTGAAACCTTAAGAGGACCTTACAAGCCCTTGCAACCTCATAGAGAATAAACAAGTAAGAATAACATAGGCTAAATGGTGCGTACTGGTCCAATCAATCGGACAACAACCACTAGAGCATGCTTTGAATTTTGCTTTACATAGCAAAACTGAGAAAATGATGCACTGCTGCATTTCTTTGATATTTAAGATAAACACACGTTACAGTAACTAAATGACACGTGTTCAAACAAAGTAGAGCTTCCTGAAGATGATGACCAATATATTGCATGACTAACATAAAATCTGTACTTTTGGTTTAGCAACATGTCCAAACAGGATACCAATCTTCTGCTACTATTTTTATCATTTATCCCTAGAGATACCTGTTTGTGGCATTAAAATAGCTGCATGCTTTGTGAATATCTCAATGACAATTTGATTTATTGGTGCGATATGCTGTGGCAGTTAAAAAGCCAAAACTCTAGCTGGGTCAGTGTAAACGAGACCCTCAAGAGCTTAAATATCAGAAACTGTGCCACAGAAATCTCTCGAAGTGGCACGTAAACAAACAATGCAGGAACACGGAGCAGTTTTCATGAACAGTCAGGTGAACATGAAGGAAAGATGGGAAATCCTGTTAGTAACTCAGTGGGACACTTTATAATAATCTTCTCTGTTACTGATGAATAGATGCAGCTCTCCGGCATACCTTTTCAGGCACTGCAGTTTGAGGCGGGAGTGTTTTTACACCAGCGCCCATACCATCGCACACATCCCTTTAATCTGTGACCACAGACCTGTGCGTAACGCGGTGAGCTGTGCAACTGTCTGAGCATGTAGGGTGTAACTGAAACCCCTGAGGGCCAGAAACAGAAAGGGTGCAGGAGAGAAAGACTGGGAGTGTGTGAGCCAAACACACAAGGACAGGAGAGGGGTGGAGGTGTGAAAGTGACAAGATGCAGCATGCTTGCAGTCAATCTGTCATTTTGGAACAGGTAAGCTGATGCTTCACAGTAAAAGCCCCTCGCGCATTTGGGCCGACACTGATGGTTCAAGCCAGGTGTCTGGAGAAAACGAGGCACTGGTTGTCGGAATGTATATGAAGCATGTCTGGATAGCTGCTAAGCACACAGTCATTCGTCCAGGTCTGGATGCATAAGAACAGGCAGAAACGCCCTCTGGTGGTCAGCAGAAAAATAACAAGTCAATGTATATCTGCATGCTCTGACCAAGAGGATAGGTGATAAGCATCAAAAGCATTAATAACACAATGGTAAGCTGAAGAGAATCCAAAGCAATTGTATCTTACAAGTAATTCTCCAAATAACATAAAATGTATTACAGATACAAGTATGTATGAGAAAATTCTAGCAATCATTAGTACAAACTACCATTACGCAGCCAGTGCCAGGTGCTTATATAAGATCACTGTCATGGGTTATTGTTCTCAGCAGCTGTGAATCTATTGAGCATTCAGTGCTCAAGAAACAACAGAAAGTAAAAGGAAATACTGACTTAGATTAAGCACAAATTTACCAACTGCATGAGAATGCAGCCTTTGCACTATGACACACACAAAATGAAACAGTGACTGTTGAAACAGATCAGGATACAAAAATGTGTGAAGCTCTGAAAATCTGTTAGCGTGCAGTAAAGTGAGTTGTTAATCTGCATAAAGTGTGAAGGTTTAAGACACTTACGTAAAGTTAACCCTGTGGGAACTAA